TGGGCCCTCGAAGCAAAAGGCGCCATGCTCTCTTCGAACTTATGCCTTTTTGAGAGTATCATGATGTACTTCGAGAATTGAACCTTGAAGTCATCCTTGTCATCATTAGGAGTTAGTCTTCGAAGCCTAGTGCCTTCGACTATCCTATCACTTATTTCCGAATCTTGCTCATCTATGGTGTTGGCGGTTGATAAAGAAGGTTCGAACATGGCATTTAGCCATAGTTGAAGTAACCAAAATGGGCCAGCTAATAGAATGTTTTTGGAGGTGTGGGATTTGAGGCTCGAAACAGCTGACCTCAGGCTCTCATAGAGGTCAACTAAGAGTAATTCACTTAGGCACACTTTGCGATTTTCGTGTAAATTCCTAGCTAGAGGAATGAACCTACTAGCTACCTGCAGGGATCTACTGCAGAAAACGTACCTAGACAGCCACAGGGTCAAGAAAGCAATGTGCTCTATGTCAGACACATTATCCCCTTCAGCATGATAATGGCTGATAAATTTGGAAAAGCTGGCTAACTTGACTTCGAAGTCAATTATGCTTGAGTGCTCTTCATTGTCAGGAACATAAGTTTCTCCCACTGGCGACAGCCCAGTAATGGCCGCTATATCGAAGAAGGTTGGGGTAATCATTCCACCTGGGAGATGGAAAGTGTTGTAGGTACTATCCCAGAAATAAAGGGACGCAAACAGCAGAGGATGGCTATAGGTGAATCCAGGTTTCGATAGCTTAATGAGGTTATAAATGCCTAATTCTTCTCATTGCTGGGATTTTTTGGCTTCTACTTTCGTGAACCAGTTTTGATAGGCAATATCAGAAGTAGGGCAAGATCTGAATGGCTTAAAGTTGCTTTTTACATAGTCCAAAACAAATAGGTCCTTGGGGGGAACAGTTGGGGTTTCTACGGTATTCGAACTAAGAGATTCTACTGCCCTAGGGGCATCCATTTTGTTGAATAAAGGTTTGAAGCTATAACATACGGGAAAAATTGTCCTGGTGTCCTTTAGTATTTCAAAAACTGTAAGAGGGCCATTTAAGGCTAACCTCTTACCAGCAACATGGGTAGGGATGAGTACCTGTGATGCGTACAACATTTCTTTTTCTTTGGAAATCATTTGAGGAGCAAGAGCAGATTGGCCTTGAATGGTGACGATTTTACTCTCCATGGTTGCTCCTGTAGTTTTTCCTTTCTTCTTGGAGACTTTCTTGAGTTGGGAAGAGGTGGAGGAAGACATTTTTTGTTTTGTTTGAGAGGTTAGATTGTTTTATGAGAGAAGAAGAGTAAAAATCCAGAGTATGAAAGATTTAGAGTGTAAAAAAGAAAAAGGAAGATTAAGTTGATGTTTTATAATGAGAAGATTAAGCATCCACCGAGTAAAAGTGTGATACGTGGAGATCATGGGTTGGTGTGATGAAGAGGTGGCGAGAAGTTGATATAGGTAATAGGCGTGATTTAAAAATAATCATTACTTATAACTGCACCACGCTGTGAAGTGACTCTGGGCGGTTAAGGAACCCAAAAGGTGCTATGATTGATGTGACTGGAGTCAAATGCATTAAATGTTATGATGATTCGAAAATCCTATCAAAATCTTGTATAAATATTTAAAATAGGTATTTCTCAAAGAGATCGAAATACATATTTTAAAGGGGCAATTTGTTGGCTGAAGATTTTGACAATGTTATTTAGAATTCAAAAGAGTTAAAAGTTCTGATCGAAATGGAATTAAACGCCATATTTCGAAGTTGCAGAAGCAGTGTTTCGAATAAGTGTGTCAAAGCTTGAAGCTTCGAACGGTGATTTTGGGAACATATCCAAAGGGGTCTCGAAACAACAGCGAGGCTAGGTTTGGGAAGAGCGTTCGAAACGGAGAAACACCAAAGCGTTTAAAATTCAAATGGGAGCGGGACTTTCAAAGTTTGAAAGTTATGTGTTGGAGCATTTGGGGACACGTGGAAAGATGAAAGAAGCATTGTCTTGCATGTTCGAAACGTGGCATGATCCTATAGCGAGACCGTTAGGGTCGAATTAGTATAAATAGAAGTCTTAGTATTAGGATTTCAGTGTGTCATATCTGTTATACAAAATACTCAATAACATTCAAACTACCACATGGCAAGGGAAACGAATGCAAGAGAAATGTATGTATGATAGCACCATGTATTTCTAACTTAATGAAAGCCTTTTTACCATTTCCAGTACTTTCTTCTTTTCTTTTTGTCGAATAACATTTGCAAGTTTCTTTATTTACTGTCTTTTCTTTTCAAAGTCTTTTCCTCAAAGTTTTACGTTTTACTGTTTTCTTTAGGTTTCGAGCACTTTATATTTCAGAGAACTGTTACACTTTCAATACCTTTACTTTCAAGTATTTACATTCAAGCGAATATTTTTACTTAAAATCATTTATAGATTTCTTGCATTAAACGCTCTCTTCACATTTTAAACTTCTACATTCCAGAAACCTTTTATGTTAAATGCTTTGCAAATCGAAACCATTTACTTCATTTTTCATACAGTTTTATATGTCTCTTCAATCAGCATTACAATTAGCACTTATTCGTATAACTTAGCTTTCATATACATTTTGACCATATTTTAAACTCTTAGAGAGAGGGATCGAAATAAACCAAACACTTGTACAATAGCAACCATGAATAATTGTTCGATTGTGAGAGTAACCTTAATATCCAAGGAGTCCTAGGATCAATCTAGTCGATCCTGTGAGTTACCAGAGAGATTGAATAGCGTTAATAAAGATTGTTCGATAGTTTGGAAGATTAGCGGTTGTTTACCAGAAATCACTGGAAACACCTGTTCTTTACAGTACTTCACAAAGGCCATCGAAGTATACTCACCTCCTCTGTCAGATCGAATTGCTTTGATGTGTCTGTCTGTTGCCTTCTCCACCATTACTTTGAACTTTTTGAACACCTCTAATGCTTTAGATTTTTCTTTCAGGAAGTAAACCCAGGTTTTTCTTGAGAAGTCATCAATAAAAGAAATGAAGTACCTTTTTCCACTGAAGGATTCTGGAGTGATTGGACCACATATGTCAGTATGTATCAATTCGAGAATATGTTTAGCTTGATACTCGGCCTTCTTTTGAAATGAGGTTCTTGTTTGTTTGCTGAGCACACATTCTTCATAGAACTTTCCTTCGAAATCCATGTCTGGCAGTCCATGCACCATGTTCCTTTTCGCCAACCTTCTCAAACCAGCATGATGTAGATGACCAAAGCGCATATGCCATAGTGACACTTTGTCTTGTACTTCGATTTGCAGACATTTCTCTCGAACGTTCCTCAGGTTCAGTTTGTACATTCAATTTCTTTCCATTTCGACACGGGCAATCAGATGTCCTACTTTGTCCTTCAAATGCAGTGTTCGATCTTTCATAAGTATCGAAACACCTTTTTCTGTAAGTTGTCTCAGACTCAATATGTTGGTCTTGAGATCTGGTACATAGTAAATGTCTTCGATTGATCCAATCAAACCATCCTTCTGCAAGTAACTGATTGTGCCCTTTCCTTCGACCTTCACTTTCGATGCATCTCCAAAAGACACATTACCATCTTCAATTCTCTTCATATCTTTAAACAGATGTTTGTAACCACACATGTGATTACTTGCTCCTGAGTCAAGATACCAAACATTGTCATTATTGGTGTTGATTTCGTTTTGAGCCATCAGGAGAAAACCTTCATTCGATTCAGCTTCCAAGGCTAGGTTGGTTGTTTCTTCAATCTTCTTTTCGACTCGACAGTCTTTTGCAAGATGTCCCACTTTGTCACAGTTGTAACATTTGTAGGAGTTGCAATCTTTCGCGTAATGACCATACTTCCCACACTTGTAGCATTCGAAGTTGGAATGATTCGAACTACCACCTCTTTGACCACGTCCTCTGCCACGCCAATTTTGTTGGCTCGATTGTCCTCTTTCGAAGTTGCTACCTCTACCACTGTCACGACCTCCACGTCCACGTCCTCTTCCTCGAAAGTTTTGAGAAAAGAGTACCTTTTCATCTTTGTTCGATTCCTTGGTTTGATTTGCTTCTTCGACTGCTTCTTCTTTCTTTTTCATCTTTCGTTGTTCGTGTGCTTCGAGAGAACCAGCGAGCTCTTCGACTGATTAAAGATCTTAAGATTCTCAAACTTGTCTGTTAAAGATCTCAAGACTTTTCAATAACTCGTGTATTAGTTACTGTCTCTCCATTTCTGGTGAGTTGATTCACCACCTTTTGCACACGTGTGATGTAGTCAGATACAGTTTCTGTATCCTTCATCTGTATCCTCTTCAATTCGCCACGAAGAGTTTGGAGTCGAACTTGCTTCACTCGATCTGCTCCTTTGAACACTCTTTCTAACGTGTCCCACGCTTGTTTCGACGTAGTCGAACCAGCAATTTTTTCGAAGCCTGATTCATCTACAGCCCTTAACAACATATATAATACCGTTTTGTCCTTCGATCGCGTCTCTTTCAACGCCCTCGTTTGAGCTGCCGTATATCCCCCAACTTCTGTTGCTTCTTCAAACCCTTCATGGGTCACATCCCACGCGTCTAGAGATCCAAGAAGAGCTTTCATTTAGATACTCCAGTTTTCATAATTTGACTTCGTTAGCCGTGGCAATGGCATTTGATTCATCATGTTTGCTGTGAGCTCTGATGCCAAATTGATATAAAGAAGCAGACTTCGTTTTATTTTATTTTGAGAAAGAGTTTATTTTGAGAGAGAGGCAAACCTTTCTATATTGCTTGTTAAATAAAATACACTCTTGGTCCTTATATAGACCCAATGACTTTTACAATTCAGAAAAGATAACTGCAACTAATAAAAACTATCATAACTTATTAACTTTTCTCCTTCCAAATTACATTGGTTCTTAATCTTCCTACTACCTTATTTAATATGAAAACTTATTACTAATGACATTAAAGTTTACTCAACAATTTTTGTCTATCATGTTCCTACAAATTGAATATTCACTTGTCTTTGCAGGGAAAACTCACTGATGGAACTGTATTCGATTCTAGCTTTGAAAGAAATAGTCCGATTGATTTTGAGCTTGGTGGTGGTCAAGTGATCAAAGGTAAACAAACACACACAACCATAAATAACTCTAGTTTTTTGAACTTCCAGTTTCGTTATCAGTAACGGTGATAATGAATATGCTGCTGTACTGACTTTGTAATTGATGCATATATAATCATGAGATCTTATCTAACTGAAATTGTCCAAGAATTACTTTAATGGTTAAAGCCGATAAAAAATCGTTATAATTGAAGTACCAGTCCCATAGAAACACCGAACAAGTAAGTAATTTGAAATGACAGACTAACCTAATGGGAGGTGATAGTTGATGATTTGAACCATTCATATAGAAAAACTCCCGTATTTCTTCAGATTTTATGTTCTTATTATAATTTAAATTTTGTGGCCACAAGATACCCGAGCTATAGTTTATAATCATAACATGCATGGTTATATTTATGTAATCATGCAAGCATGTAAGATTTAGTTTTCATTACAAAGTTCTGGTTTATGATGGAAGATCTTCAAGTTGCTCATCCTTTTTTTGCAGGATGGGACCAAGGATTATTGGGAATGTGTCTTGGTGAGAAGCGAAAACTGAAAATCCCAGCAAAACTTGGCTATGGAGAGCAGGGTTCCCCACCAACTATTCCAGGTAATTTATCGCATTGATAATGATAATAATGCTCAAGAGCCAAAACCTCTTATATTAAGATAGTGAAATTATTATCTAACAGCTAGAAAATCTGGTTGCCTTGCTTATATAACGTTGATATGACATTGAGTTGAACCTACAGGTGGTGCAACACTTATATTTGACACTGAGCTTGTGGGAGTGAACGACAAAAGCTTAAGCGAAGAAAAATCAACCTCGTCCGAACTGTAGACAAATCAACTAGACTATTGGCAATCTTTGATAGCTTACTTTTGTTTCTTAATAATGGCTTTCAACACCAAGGTTTCGTTGTGTAACCTTTGCGTGTGGCTAGTATAGAAAGATTTTGCTGTTGTACCCTGTAACTTAAATATACATCTATTTGGTATTTTTTAGCTTTCCTGAGAATTTTCATTTGTTTGCCTGTCTATTAATTTCTTCCAATTGAGTCGGTTTAAGTTTCATGGTAATCCTTATAATATGTTCAACAATGGGAAGACAGTCGATTCAAAGTATTAACTTTTGGGGTCCATATTTTACAATTTTAGTATTAACTCCTTGGATTAAATATACTTTGTATACTTTTTTTATTAAATATTCGTTTTGATCTTTGATCTGATTCTTTATTTGTTTTGGTTAATATATTTTTTAACGAGAAAATTTAAATATAATTTTTTAGATGTAATTTTTACTATTTTTTAATAAAAATATATAATTTTTTGTTATTTTTACTCTTAAATAATGTTTAAATATATTTATTAAATTTTTGTTAGAAAATAGCAAAAATTACATGTAAAAAATTATATTTAAATGTTTTCTATTTTTAAATTATATTTAAATGTTTTCTATTTTTAAATGGTTGAATATTAATCTTTCTTTCATCCGATGTTGTATATGAAAATTCAAGTATATCAAAATTCAAGTAACTAGTAAGTTTTTAAAAATATTATTTTTGAGAAATGAGAATTGAACACGTATTTTTGCAAGTATTGTTTTAAATAAGGGTGAAGATAAAAGACAAAAAATAATTGTTTCATTTAAGAAAATAAGAAAACAATGAAAAGGTTGACCACGGATATATATATATTTTTTATAAAATGTTTTGCTCTTTGATTCAGGTACTCCAATTATATGAAAAGAATGTATGAAATTTCGTCATCTTTGTTATAATATATGGGTCTGCTATTTATTCTATTTATAAATAACCGTCGACGACGATTCTGACCACCAAGGAAATGTTACGTTTCACCCCACGTCTTATCTTCAGGCTCCTACTAGCGCGTTTCTGTGTCACCCACGATTTACTGTTTATAACCCACGTTGAATAAAAATGCTTCGAGCTTTCCCACAAACTCTTAATAATATTTGTCAATGTGATGTCGGCGCCATCTTTACTCAAAAACTTGGACTTGGAGATTTACCAAGTTTTTAACCTTTTGTGATTTTGTCGATTAATTTTTCTGTCGACCGTCCTTTTAGAGATTTTGGACATGTTTCAAGGTGACCCTAATCTTGTGGATGTGTTCTTGTGATTTTCTAAACTGTAACTATCACATCAGTCGACTTCCTGGTCGATGATCTGTCGATGATGGATCATTAATGCCCTTAAACACTTGATTAATGTCTTCTCAACACTAAATACCCCTTCATTATGACATTCTTCGTTGACTTTCCATTAGCTAAAAATTCCAGTTTAATAGATGTCCCAAAAAAATGCTACCTTCGATCACGAACTAGATGGAAGAAAAGTGATATTTTTTGTAACTGCTTTGGCACTATGTTCCACATCATGTACACATCATCTCAACCATGATTTTTTCAGTTATCATGACCACCTTTTTACCAAAATGTCGTGTCTTAAACGTGAAACCATCTATCTATCATTACTCTGGGTTCCAAGGTCCTTAGATAGCCACTAATAATAAAATAAAAAGTGTCATCTATCCTGGATGGGAATCTGTGGTTTTCCGTGACTAACCCCATGATTTTTGCTTTCTGAAGAAGAGGGTGTATCGCTCTTCGCCCCCCTTGAGACTATTGATTCAGCTTACATCAAATATATGAATATGGTAGAGAGGAAGAAGAAGCATGCATGGAAAGAACAAGGGATTAACGATCTCATCCAACAATCAAGGGTAGGTCCTAAATACAATCCCGTCATGCTCCTTGTTGCCTCATATTTTTGGGAGGCTACGACAAACACTTTCCACCTTCCTTATGGGATGATTACTCCCACTCTCTTTGATCTGGTTTCTATCATTGGTCTTCGACCTACTAGGGAGGATTATGAACCTTCCAAGATCACGAGAACCAAACTTGGTTTTGATATTTACAATAGTGCCTATAACACCTTTATTGAGGATCATTTTGGCTCGATTGATATTGTTGACACTTATGAGCGCATGGCATTTTAACCTACTGGTTATATCTCTATGTTTTCTGTCCTCGTGAAGTTTAAGTCATGAAGATGTATGTGCCTTTGGCCACCCAAATGCATGAGAAAACGAATGTGCCTAAAAAAACTTATCTTATATGATCTCTACGAGTCGTTGGGACATATTTCTGGTGACATTATCTGTCGAGACCACCTCGACAACCTCCAAATAGGAGGGACTATGTGGTTTTAACAATTGTGGCTCAACGTAACTTTTGTGCCTGCTTTAAACGCTCAGATCCTTCCCAGCATAGAAGTGGGTACTGAAGGTGTACGACTGGCTTAACTTACCACTGATGATAGCAAAACCGTGTCGAAAGAAACTTTTGAGAAATATTTTTATGTGTTTTACAACTGTAATACATTCGTTCTAACCATGACGTCATTTACCACTCGACAGTATGGCCCATCATGGTTTCATAAACCATTACCTCATCCCAATGTCGAAGGAGAAAGGGTTATTCTTGGCATTCTCATGGAATGCCTTTGTCCAGCTCCTTTATGGACGAAGCTCACCACCTGTAAGACCAGAGTCAATCTTACCGCATATAAACCAAACTTAGTGACTAGCCAATTTGGTCTGATCAAATTACTTTTCAAATCCTTGATCCCTGTGGAAAAAGGTATGTTTATCTCCACAAACAACACGATGGAGGAAACCTTGGCAAGTTGCCTTGACTACTTCAAGGATGGTCCATTTTACCTATGCTCCTTCAAATACTCGATCTATTTCTAATGCACAAAAGAGTTCAAATATTGATGGTGATCTTATTATAAGAACGTCATATTTTGAAAGACATTATAATATTTTAAAATTTTGAAAAATTGAAAATATCGTGATACTCCCTACGTCTCAAAATATAAGAGAAAATAATATATATTTTCTTGTCCTAAAATATAAGAGAGAAAAATCACTTTCATCTTTTTCAAGGTAAAATTAAATAAGAAATGCATTTAATTTACATTCTCTCTAATCTTTTCTATAACGAACAACCAATTAGATTTGCTTTTACATTTTCCTAAACACTTTATTTCAAGAAAATCATAAGTCAAATGATTATGTTTTTATTTTTCTTAATAAGTGTATTTTTTTAGTTTTTTCTCTTATATTTCATGACGGAGAAAGTATTTTTTAGAGATCGAGTCATTCGGTTCTACCGATTTAATAAATATATATTTTTGTCATAGAGGCATGTTTATTCAATCAAGTTATCCGATTTAATTCGATTTTGTCATATGGTTCTGTAATTGCAAGCTTCTCAAGTCATGTTTAAAGCATTGGTTTTGATGAAGACAACATGGATATCAATATTCAAAGGATGTGCAAAAAGTTTATCAATATCATATAAAACCTTGTTACAAGTCTTGAAGATTAGAAGAAGAATTATTAAAGAAACAACAAATGTCAAAAGGTATAAATAATTCTTAAACTTGAATATAGATGTTCACAAATATGCATTCATAATCATATACATATCCCACATTTTTAACAATAAGAAAAACTATGTTTGAAATCTTTTTCAAAAGGATTTTTTTGAAAATAAACTTTCAGGAACCGGTTCCTACCTAACAGGGAACCGGGTTCCAAACTTGTTCAAAAAACACTTCCCTGGAATTTGTACCAGGAACCGGGTTGTACCTATAGGGGAACCGGTTCATGCGTGTTATTTTTGAATTTTGGGTTATAACGTTCACTAGGAACCGGGTTCTGCCTGGGTCGGAACCGGTTCCCAGCGAACCAGTACAAATTTTCTTTTGTTTTTTGAACATAATTCAAATGGTATTCTTTCATGATTGCATTGCATCTTTTCATATCAAATGGCATGAATGAAGAGGTATTTGTGACATTATAAATTGTGCATATTTTCAAATTCAAATAACCTTCTTCAATTAACAATTTTCATCATTCAAATTTGCATATTCTTACAAACTTTCAAGTGTTCTTACAAATCATAAATTTTGTGAAACTTGCCATATACATTTTCATTAAGAAATCATTACAGGTTTCATACATTCATTGTGAACATTTATAATCATTGCTTGAGAATTGTTTCTTTCTTGAAGAAGAAGATCAATCAAAGATTGATAGTGCTCTCCATCTCTTTCAAATAAATCATTGTATTACAAAAAGAAAGTATTCCCTTACTATCCAGGATTGTTGGAAGTAAGTGTTGTGATTTGAAGAGGATTGTTCTTCATTCACATTAGTGTTTGTTTGACCTTAAAGGTGTTAAGAACCTTTGGTCACCCTATAGGTTAGATAGTAAGCATAGGTTGTACAATCATTCTAAACTATAGTGAAATCTCTTTCGTGTTGGAAAAGGGGACTGGAGTACTCTCAGATTATGAGGGGAACCAGGATATATCGCCGTGTTCTTTACTTTTCCGCTTTTATCGTTTTCATCACCATAATCAAGAAAAGATAAGATATAGTCAAAAACCTTCAAACACTTAACCACAAATTACAACAAGTATTCTCATAAAACTGAATAAATTTTATATACCTAATTCACCCCCCTCTTAGGCACTCTTAGACTTACAATTGGCATCAGAGCAAGTTATATGTAACTTGTTCCTAAAGATCCAGAATAGCTTCCGCAAATCAAAATCCGGTTTTCAAAGATGGTGGTAGTAACAACAAGCCTCCATTGTTTTGTGGTGAATAATTTGACTTTTGGAAAATTCACATGAAGGCTCATCTTGAAGCGCAAAGAGAAGAAATATGGAATGCTGTTGAGAATGGTCCATTTACTCTGGTGTGTGTTGTCAATGGTGTTGGGTCATAAAAGCTTAAAGC